ACCTTTTTTTCCACTCAGAATTCTTTGGTTTGCATAATATTTAACTGAAGTTTGTATTTGCTTTTATAAGGACCCTTGCATAAACATGGTTGAGAATCCTGCCTCCCTGGGCAGGACTGACGACTTGGACAGCCTTCTGTGGGGATGGAGGTCTTGTGAAGGAAGCGGAGTGTTGGCTGGTCCAACTGGTCAGCTAGCTGGAGGTCAGTGCAGAGAGTGCCCACCGTCTATGAAGCAAGTCAGTGTGTCCTTTAGTCGTCAACAGTTGAGCAGCTTACGCTTGAGATTTTCTATTTTAACAATTACTGAGTGCCTACCATGTGCTCGGCACTTTGACATATATTGCCTTATAAAAAGGTCACCATAATCCTGCGAAGTGGGTGACATTATTACTACTTTAAGACCCTTAGAGATTGACATATGGACAAAGCGGCAAAGTCAGAGAACCAGGAAGTGACTGGGTCAGGAGATGTTCTCAGGTTCCATTACCCCTGCCCTTTCTTTTCTGCTTGGCTGTGTCGGTGTTTTGTTGTTATTGTTTGGTCCTGGATGTAATAAAGACTTCAGAGTAAAAGGCCCAGTACCTGGCAGCCCTCACAAAAAGCTGGGCAGCTCACAGGACATCAGACAACTGGTTGACTTGTCACTGTGATGACAAGGGGCAGATACCAGCCTTTGGAGACATGATAGATGAGTCACAGCAAAATCCTTTTTAGACCTGCTTTCAAAAGGCCCCCTTGGATATGGAAACAGCACCCCAGAGACTTAAAACAGCATTGTGTTTCAGTTTGTGGCAATGAGCGAATAATCTAAAGTTACAATTTATTGAATACCTGCTGTGTGCCAGGTATTCACTGTGTGCCTACTGTGTGCCAAAGGTTGAGTCAGGTGATTTAAGTGTATTTTATCCATTTCTTACTATGGCTCAGCCAGGTAGCTGGTTACATAGGTGCGGAAGCTGAGGTTTTCTTGCTCAGGGGCATACAATAGGTGTACACTTGATAGATAAACTTTTGATCAACTGCCTGGCTGGCTTTGTGGTTGGAGGAGTCCTCTCATTCTACAACAAACCCAGTTA